GGCGTATTGCGCTAATAATTATTAAAAACCACGCCTTGCAAACATTTCGATTTTTATCAGAAGAAAATTTTGTGTATATTATAGTAATTTCAGTAGTTGAGATCATGAGTCAATTGAAGCTAGACCACCATGGAAAACCTGGAAGCACTGGATGGCGCACTGCTATGGAGTCTCACAATAGGACGTGACGGCCGTTCAATGCATTCAGGTTATTCATGGTGGTGTGGCTTCAATAGACTCATGATCTCAATTATTGAAATTGCTATAATATTCACAAAATCCCCTTCTGATATTAATCAACGTATGCTAGTGACTGGCTTCAAGAGGTATTTCCTGGAGTTCTAGTGAGAAGCAGTGATCAGTAGAGTTCAACCGGGTCTGTTGTGAGATAGTAACTTACTGAAAGTAATGGTGGATGTGTCGCTAAATTTTGTGGATAAGTTGAAGTTAGACATTAGCACCGTTGGATGCCGTACAGCTCAGTCATCAAGAGGTTAAGTGCTCGCGCGCGAGACCGGCAGGTTTGAGTTGAAATCTCGCTGGACGGGAATCTAGTTTCGATTCTTTTCAAGTACTTTATTCTTCTCACACAATTACAAAATACATGATCAAAGTAAAGCCTCAGAAATCTCACTTTTCTTCCTATTTCCGCTCACTTCTTACAATCAATCTATAACTAAACATATTTTCACTATAAACACTAATCTATTCCTATGGTATACTAAATTTCAGCTTTCAAGATTCAGTGGGAATTTGTTTTCAAAGTAACTTGTATATCATCTGTAAAATGGTGCATATAGTATAATATTCAAACGACTTCACCATCACCTGATGATACTATCTTCATCATCAACATCATCATTATTATCACCATTCAAATCATCATCATCAACAACAACAACACGATTATCACCATCCAAATCATCATCATTATGTTATACTCAAAGCCGCCAATCAGAAGCAGCGAATTATCGATCGGACCAAGGACGCATAAAACACATGCAAGTAGTCTAGAGTCCTGATTAATCCTGTTCCCTGACTAGCCCAGCCAATTAAGTCCAGAACACCAATCCGAGCCTCTGCGATATGAATCATTTGTTTCAAACATACTCTGTTTATATACCAATCAAGCAGAGCTCATCGTACCATAAAATAGAAAATAACATTTATACAGGATTTGGCCAAATGTGGCTGTGAATGTGAGAGGTAGTGATTAATAAACAGGGAATAATTCAAGAATGGAAACTCATATAATAACAGTTCATAAATCAAAATAAGGCTCATAATAAGAGGGAGATGACTACGAAAAGTTGAGTTATTTAACAATTATACGACAAAAATATACGTATAGTATTGATTCACAAATAGATCCCAAAACATTACCACTTATTATTCTTATCGAGACACAACATTAACATCATCCAAATCATCATCATCCTTAATTGACATTCAAAAAACTTAATGTTCACTTATAATTTCCTTTAAAGTTTTAAATTGACTAGATGAATTTATTACCAAATTGAGGAAGATTCTATGTAAAAGACTATAGAATGTAGATGTACATTTTAAATGAATCATAAAAATTCTTTATAGAATAGTTTTCTGAATAAAGTTAATGTCTATATGAGTCTATTATGAAACACAATTATATAGTTATTCAAAAATTCGAAGTTATTAGTGAAAAATTGCTATGGATATCTGTTTATTGTTAAAAACTGATAAATGTATGTTACCTAGTCATATGTACTCTTAACATGAAAAAAAAGACACATTCGAATAATTTTATATGTTTATTACCAGATTAAGGTTTGTGGAAATGGTAGTAATGTTAATAGTTGAAATCATGAATTGATGTAAGCAGAATCGTGGATGCGTACTGTTGAAGATTCTCATACTAGGACGAAACAACTTTCCAGTACTACCAGGTTTTCTATGGTGGTCAGTCGATTCATAAATTCAACTATTAATCATCTTAGGTGTATATTTAGTCAAATTTGTCCCAATTTAAAGAAAATATTGACAAAATAAAGTCATTCCTTTCTCAACTCTAAAAGTATAAGTAGTTATGTAGTGATATTGTTATACAAATCTTGGATGACAAAAAATACATTATAGCTGTAGAAATATATCCCGACGAGAATTATGAATGGTAACTCTTAAGAACTATTTATGGACCGATACGATAAATATATTTTTATTGTATAATTGTTAAGTAACTAAACTATACATATTCATGTTCTTTTTATTATAAGCCTTATTTTGACCCATAGATTATTATTATACGATTTACCGTTCTTGAGTTATGCCCTGTCTATTAATTACATTCACATCCACTTTTGGTTAAATGTTATACAAATGTTGTTTTCTATTTAATGGTACGATGTAGTCTGTTTGGTTTGTATGTAAACCCAGTATGATTGAAATATATGTTTCATATCACGAAGGCTAAGATTGGTGTCCTAGACTCAATAGGCAGGGTTAGTCAGGAAGCATGACCGATAAAGACTCTCGACTTCTCGTACAGGTTCTTTGTGTCATTCGTTCGGTCGATAATTCACTGTTCTTTAAATTGGTCATATCATTACGTAATATATTAATAGGATACAATGTCACAAGTTATAACAAATATAATGATGTTATACTTTTTATTTCAACTGAGTTAGTTCGTAAAGAGCACATTAATAAAACTATAAATAATAAATAAGTAGATCAAATGAACTAACATAGTAGTGAATGATAAAAATTTAGAAAAAAACGGTGATCAGAGAAGATAAAATCAAAAAGTAAGAAACGTAAATTACTTGAAATCGGTTTTAATAATCTTCATGTAATTATTTGAGCTGAAATAAAGTTTTGAATATGACGACAACATTGAAGTTACTTGATCATGATTATTAGTTTTATAAACGCATTAGATGTTTTGTGAAGAAAAGTCAAAAGTACTTATTTAGATCTAGTTAGGTCTACAAAAATCTACAGAACAATTAAAGCTATTCATAGTAGCAAGACATTATGAGTTGTCCAGAAATACTTTGTTTTTGAAAGATTTACAAAGACATATAGATTAACAGTTATTAAAGTAGATTTTTGAACACTAGTCAGTAATTCCAAAGTGTAAAACCTAATAATTTTATTTGATTAACCATTAGAATGACCCTAACATGTACATTCCATTTGTATAATAATCTAATTATACATAACTACAAAACTATTGATACCACTTCAGTGAAATTTCGGAAAATAACATCAAACCGTTAGACAACAGAAGAGTTGAAACGTTACATGTTGTCGAGCTATTAAAACCACAAACATTCTTACATTTTCAAAAAATACCAGTGTAGACCGCGTTTTATTCATCTACAATGAAAGCTCTTAACATGATATTTAACTATCACCACTAACATGTGCGTTAGAACAGGTATTTATTTTTACTGCTGAAAAACTACGTATAAAAGTCCACGTTTCAAATCCATAAACACATCAAACGTACACAACTGCAGGTATATTGACGCCATAGTAGTTAATCCCAAAGCTATGGAAAGTATTAAATGATAAAATGCCTCATCAGCTATATACTGAAAAACATACAGTATGGATTCATAAAAAGTAGTGATCCATACCGTGTCATCCTAAGTTTTTAAATGAAGCTCCACTTAACAAAGTCCATGATACCTAATTGCATTGCTATAATAATAGAATATCAAAAGCTCTCAACACGTTTAAATTGGTTAGATACTACAAGATCAGAAATACCTTGTAGCACAAATAAATTCACTATTTAGTTACCGTCACTAACAGTTAAAATAAACTTTTTCATACAGAACTATTGTGTCGTTGTATATAGTGTCATAAAAGACAGTGTTTTGAAAGCTTGACTTCTCATCACGTGTATCATCCATACGATACACTACAAATTTACTTTCTTCCACAATTGTCTAAAAAATGGTAACACAGACTATCATGCCGCCATTCATCGGTGAAATCATAGGAGTACTAAATGTTAAGGCACCGTTATTTCTAAGATTACAGGTAAAACCTTCTTCTATACTTTTACAACAAAAAAAGTTTATTATATTATACTTGATTAACCACAAACTCTAGCCTACTTACATATTAGTTCATTATTATACTAATCTGTACAAAACTGTAGGTTATGTAGAAACTTTCCACTACAAATGAAGTGACGATAAAAATGTGAAAGGGTATCATGGACTTACTAAGTCCATTACTTAGTTATTTGGTCTTGTTTTTTGCTATAGATCACGATGTGAATGTTACAAGCAAACCAGAATTGTTAAACATTAAATTGATGGTTTTTATTCTCGTAATATTCAGGTTGCAGTTTTCTGATCAAAAACGTACTGGATACCCGAAATCGGTTTGTGCCTTGATCTTATTTAAAAACTTAATGGATTTCTGTGACTAACCCGTTGAAAATCTTATTACGTTATAAAATATGATTTAGTAATTTCGTTGAAAGTCATCACCATTTTCACTAGTACTTAAATAAACTCGAGTCTTTTTAAAAAACTGAATGCATTGTATATCTGTCAAGTCATCGCAGCTTAAAACAGTAACAATGACCGCCATTTGTTATTGAATGTGATAATTATGTAAGGATCCTAACTGAACTGCCTAGCGATTAGACTGTTTAATGTGCCTTCTATCGACAAAATGTAGTATCTGTCACTCTAAGTTGCATAAATTTTTAGTAATGCCACCTGACTAGTGCAATTGGTTCAATTCATCATGCAATCATTTTTCCGATTATTAACAGTCCTATCTTTAAGAGATATACGAATATCATGTTGCGTATTTTGTTTACTGATACTGTACCTTTAAATTATGCTTCTTTAAACTCTTTTTTGCTTTTTTATTTTGTGATTTACACCACAAACAAATTGATCACATGTTCAGACAAAATAGTTGATGAACCACATCATCTCAGATGATGCAAACATTTTAGTGTTAGCTCTCCTTTTGTAAAACTCTATTCAAGCTTTTAAAGACGTTTGAGCTGTTATCAATTTCAGAATACACTCAAATGTGGTTAGCACATGAAGTAACAAAAATGAACTGTTAAACAGTATTTCGGAAAAAAGCGCGCCGTTGAAGGAGAACATTGAAAATAAATACCAGGTTAATGGATTCGTATCATAAAAACCGTGTGATGCACACATAATCGTTTACTAAAAGTCAAGATAAGTGTAATGACGATATAAAACAATATTCTTCCTAATTATGTTTGTAAACCGCATTAGATTTACCATATACTAGAATAATTCACCTCGTTATTTAGTGTGAATAAGTAAGTGTGGTAAGTCCTTATTCATCTAGGTTAAGAATATGAAGCATACACCTCAACAATTTTCGGTGCAACCCAAGAATATTTTATTGCAGAACGCGCACAGGTTTTAGATAGTGCTGATTAATAAACAAAAAATAGGACTAAAAACGGTGTTACTTAATAATCACTAGTCCTTCGGTTTTGAAATAACTCCGGTACATCTTAACAAACCATCGTTATCTTCTGTTTACTTACAGGCTGAGACTTTTAAATGTTGTGGATTTCTTTTGAATTAGACTCTTGTCAATTGCCGAGAAACCTGAGATTTATCACTGACAAAAGTTTTACTTTTAAGAGCAATCGAAGTACCCACATAATCGTATTCTACTGATCCCTACGAAATTGTGTAAAAAAGCAAACAAAATACATTACTAATATTCAGACTTCAGTGGTTTTACCATTGAATATTGAAGAGTATTTCAATTTCTTCACTCCATTACTATCTTTGTATACAGTGTTTCATCACTCAAATAAAGAGCTAATTATTTCAGGATCTTAAGTATCATAATTATCTACACTTCTAGATTTGCAAATTCCAAATTAATGTTAAGCAACTAAGTTTAATGAGACAGTCATTGTTGACCGAAGTGTCTTTTGATATGGTTCTTACTTTTAGGACCTAAAGTTATGACCGCGATTATTTAATACAATTTGTTCATTTTGTTTTACAGAAAAATCTATTTGTTTTCAAGGAGCAATTATGAGTCTGACTTTATCCAGTTTAATTAAAAATATACTGCTAATTATTTACCTTTATATCAAGCGTTTACGTGCTAAAATATTGTAGCCATTTATGAGTGCCTGTTCGGGTATTTTTGAGTGATTTCATTTTTAAAAGTGGTCAAAACTTGATAAATTCTGTTATGCATTAGCAGACGAGCACCCATTTTATATCCTGTAAACGTTCAACTATTTTTTCCATCAGTACTAGACAAACTGTCACGCATAGTGTTTAAATTTAGCCACTCTATCAAAGTAAATTTCCGAAAACGGCATCCAGATGTATGTTACAAAATAAAAAGTAAGGAGTACAAAGGGATTCTTAAATTGTGCACATTGTAATAAACAGATAATATTAATATATCAAAGACTGATCATTGGTAATTGTTCATCGAGACTTAACAAAAAAAACAATGTCGATCAATTTCAAGTAACTTTAAAAAAGTTATCTTTTGTCAAAAACTGACACAATACATCTCGGTTGAAAATCTGGTGCTCAAACAACATGGATTAGAACTAACCGTACTACTGAATATCTTAACGCTTTGGTAAAAACATTATTTGTCTATAGTCAACAGCACAGTTTATTTGCGATCAAGATTTAACAAAACTGCTTGAGAAACATCCAGACATCGGATTGTGATAAAGTTTTGAATGAAATAAATGAAGTCTGAGGATCCGAGAAGCCGCACATATGCTACCATGCTTCTTCGAACAACTCACTGTCTCCACGTTTATACTTCATGAGCATAAGGATCTGAATTAACGCCAGTAAATAATTACAAGATATCAATTCTGTTTTTAATCAAATTTTGAAAGACTCAGTTTCCCAAATGATTCCTTCCGAGATCCCTTCCCGAGGTTTTTGTCTCTGAATGCTTAATCCAGATGTTTACCTCAAACAATCCAGATTAACCATCGTCACATCTAATTTACAGTAACAGCATATTTACCGAAACAAAAAACCCTGTTGTGCACAACACAGAAACTGGCCTCATGTCTTGCAAAAAACACTTTCTATCCTGTGTTAAGTCCGAGTGGTATCATAGTTACTACTGACCTATATCGGACTTCTTCAGCACTCATGCTAGGTACAAATGAATGGATCCTCGAAAAAATACCAAACATACCGAAAACTATAAACATATACTGAACGTGAGTGTTCGTTCAATATAAACGTCTTTTTATGTTGTGAAATACAATTAATGGCAAACTGATTCTCGTTCTCGTTAACGTGCAAAACTGATTAACCTACGTCTTATTAGAAACGCTTCTATGCATATAATTTGAAGAAAAAGGTGGCATATTGACAACTTACTCGAAACAAATTGTGAAAAATTGAGAAAATTCCTATTGTTCACAGTAAATTAGCAAAAATGTGATGGATTAACTGGGTTGTAAGAAACGCGAAAACGTATTACAAGATTGAAAGCCACCTAATTATTGTCCAATATATTGGTTAAAACAGTTGCTTTTGAAAGATAATAGAAACGTTATTCGTGGTAAGTATATTGAGAAATTTTGTTTATAAAAAACAAAAGTGGAAACCTTGAGGAGTTGACAGGAAAACATTTTGGTATATAATTGTTGCATATTATCAGTATATAATTAGTGATCAGAGATTTTCATGCAAATTTAACTGGAATAAATGTTTGTTTAAGGTATTTATACAAATCATACATTCAGTTGCTTATTTCACCGTGAGTTTAGCAGCAACACGCAACACTTTAAAAGCTCTGTCACACGGTTCACTCAGACAAAACTTCGCAGTATACATTTATGTTTCAAGTATCAGGATTGACTTTATATACGTTACACACATCATTTAGCTGTTGAATTCTTTCGTCTGCCTTTTCAGTTCAATTTTGTGCTGTGAACATTTCGAGTACAATCTTCATTCATCGCATTTTCTTTATGTGATTTACTTTGACTGTTGGTTTATCGATGATTTCCACACGAGAAATACTTCTTCACATGACGCGAAAATCTGATTGCATATGATGACTTTTCGGCAACCTGTCCAATGACATGCAAACCTTTGTCGATGAAAAAGCAGGATCGTTAGTGAATAACACTGAATATTGCATGTTCGATTACACACATGTAAATAGAATATAGATACGTTTAGCAAACACAATGTAAGTAGCAGTCGCACCGATTCGTGAACACAACTTCCTTATGTTGAAATCTTGAGTAGATGGGATATTAAAAACAAGAGAGAATTTTCGAAAGCTTTGCACTCAGGATAATCAATGCAAGCTCCATAACATAACTATCCAGCTGTGAGAACGAAACTCTTCGGAAAACAGTGGTGAATGGCTGAGATTTAACCAACAACCTGACACTAAATTAAAAACATCCGTATGTGAGCTTGAAGCTACCCACTACTTTATCTTATTCAGGTGTCACACATCTACCTTGATTTACTAAATGACGAAATTTTGCATCTGCCTAACTAGTTTAACAGTTTTCACTCACTCTATGTCATGTTTAAGCGAACCACCTAACGATGTGCTGAGACACTTTTCCTGTCAGCATAGCCTAACGAGAGTAAAATAGTAAGCCTTATGCATATCTTCCGAGTTACTCACTGTTAAGCTCCGTAAACCAATAAATATAATTATTATCTGGTACCCTTCAAAATATTGTAGGCATGTTTTAAACATTCAGTAACTTAAGATTGACTACCTAAGTATATTTGAACCAACTAATGATATCATCAAAATGTCAAGAGATATATTCGTTGAGGTGAATAACCAATATTATTGAAGGCACTTTGCCATAGTGTATACTGCTGTGTTCTTTATAAAGATTTAATTCTGGGTAGTATGAGCCTATAAATGTGAACGATAAATGCTCCGATACGCAATAATGTTGGGTTTCTCGAACCATCTAGAAACACACAGTAAGTCAGAATCCACTCAGCAATTTGAAATCTGATTCTGTGATACTCTTGTGAGCCTGTAGTCGCCTTTGTAAACCTGTTTTTCTCTATTAAAAGCTAATTAAGATTGTGTCTTTACAAAACAGTCTCCAAAATAATGAAGACCATATGGAGTATATATGCATACAAACTTAAGAAAATTAAATTGTGATTACCAGTAACGCCCGAAATATGGTTAGTTATGAAATTGAGATTTAACGACTTCAAGTTTACAACTGAAACAATAGATTCGATACTACCAGATTAACAAACACCCTAGAACAAAAATAATCGTTCTTGAATATGAAATGAATTACTGGAAGAACATAATTACAGGGATTAGCATAAGCAGCAATGAGAAGAATAATACTTTTACAAACCGACACAATATGTCCCACTATACCACACTTGAAGCATATGGCTTGACCAAATACAGATGAATTACGTAAATGAAGTATTGAAAAACATTTACCGAACTTGTGTTAGTCTTCGTTTACTGTAGTAAAATTCTTGATACATTGGAAGTCAGCTTCATGCACTGCATCATAATCAGTACATGCAGTTTTATCATCTTGGATACTTGCCTATGCTCATGTAGTGTGGCGTCGAGTCATGTTTGACTATGATAACCACAACAGGAGGATTACGTGCCAGTTAACCGATAAGATCCCTCGTAGGCCAAATATCAGAAGACAGTTGATGGCTGTATTTGTTGGTAACCTTTAAGTTGTTTCGTTGTATGTTATTCTTTAAAACGTATTCCTAATTTACATATATATAAAACCTCAGGAAATGTACAGTCAAAGACTTACTAAGAACAGAACTACATTTATCACAATATGGCGGTTATAATGAACTTGTAGCGGTAAATAAATCCTCAAAATCAGTAGCTCTGCGTGTCTTCGACATATAATGTTGCCCGCATTAGTTTTAATGGACTTGTAGTCGAATTGGGATTACCAATTGTATTCGTATTGGGATTACCAATTGTATTCGTATTGGGATTGCCAATTGTAGCGTGGCGTCGAGTTGAGGTTAACTGTGAACACCGCTACCAGAAAACACGTGCCAGATAAATCAGAAGGCGTAAGAAGCTCGTTCCAAATGACTCCATAAAATCCCCGAGAAGCCGAATACCAGAAAGCAATTAATGGACCAAGTCGATGTTTATTTGCTGGCGATCTCGTGGCATCGAAAGGATACCGAGATCGTGCCAGGATACAATCTTGGTTACAGAACGTAACCGAATTCGCGCGAAGTTACAATCAAAGAGTGTGTAAAAGAATGGAAGAACAAAATAGCTGTCATTAGCACAGTCAAACAAA